ACAGAGAAGTGTGTAACGATGACTTAGAGACAGTCTTATTCTCTCTCATCACCTCAAAAGAGGTGCAGTACAGACCAACATTACTTTTTTCTTTTTAAAGCAACTTTATTGAGGTATAATTTACATGCATAAAATGTACCCCTCTAAATGTACAGATGGATGACTTTTGACAGATGTAAATACCTACATAACCACCATCACAATCAAGACAAAATATTTCCACCTCCCAAAAAAAGTTCTTATGTGTCTCTTTAACCCCAACCCCAGACTAGGATTGATCAGAATCTTACTATTATAGGTTAGTTTTACCTATTCTAGAACTTCATATAAATGGAATCATTCAGTATGTATGCTTTTGTGTCTGGCTTCTTCCATTTGGCATTATGCTTTTGAAATTCATCCATGTTGTTGCTTGTATCAATAGTTCCCTCTTGCCCTAGCCCAGTGGTCGGCAAACTGCGGCCCCTTGAGTGTGGCTCTTCCACAAAATACCACGTGGGGCGCACACGTACAGTGCGATTGAAACTTCATGGCCACACTCAAGGGGCCAAAGAGCCGCATGTGGCTCTCGAGCCGCCGTTTGCCGACCACTGCCCTAGCCGGTTTGCTCAGTGGCTAGAGTGCCGGCCTCAGGACTGAAGGGTCTCAGGTTCGATTCCGGTCACATGTGAGGCAACCAATCTATGTTTCCCTCTCTGTCTCTCCCCCTCTCTTCTAAAAAATCAGTGGAAAAAACATCCTCAGATGAGGGTTAACCAAAAAAACAAAACAAATGTTTCCTCCTATTTTATTTTATTTATTTTTAGAGGGGCAGGAAGGGAGAGAAACATAAATCAGTTGCCTCCCGCACACGCCCTGACCTGGGATTGAACCTGCAACCTAGGCATGTGCCCCGAACTGGTGACCTCCAGGTGCACAGGGTGATGCCCCAACCAGCTGAGCCACACTGGCCAGGGCTAGTTCCCTGGATTTTTTTGAAATTGCTGAATATTATTCCATTGTATGGATAGTTTATCTTTTCACCTGTTGATAGACACTGAGTTGTTTCCAGTTTGGCCCTATTATAAATAAAGCTGTTAGGAACATGAGCATGTTTTTTATAGACATATTTTCTCATCTCTCTTGGGTCAATACTCAACTTGGAATTGTTGGGTCATTGTAAAGGTGTAGGTTTACCTTTGTAAGAAACTGCCAAACTTTTTCAAAGAGGTTGTATCATTTTACACTCCCCCTTACATTGGTCCTCAGTACTTTCTGAAGTTAGATGTTTTCCTTTCAGTCAGACAGTATCTTCATTGGCCTCAAAGTGGCCCAATACATCCTGATGAATGCAAAAAGATATAGCAGTAAATGTTATTTTAGCAGGAGGAAAGGAAGCCCAATCCACGAGTGACTTTGTCTTCTGACTCTGGTAACTTTCTGTGACTTTCCAGAGCCTGGCCAAGGTCAGGCCTTAGGACCCATGAGTATTGCTTTTAGGGAGGGACTTGTGCCCATCAATTGACCTCGAGTTAATCTGATCCCACTTCTGCCCCTGGGCTGTTGGAGAGAAAGAAGGTCGAGGACCCACGGCTGCAGGAAGGGATTGTGGTTGCTTATACCACCTGGCACTTTCAAACAGGGGCCGTTCAGAGCTGCATGGAGGGAAAGGGACTTTGAAAAATGCCTCTTGACAATTCAGATCCTTACCCTTTCCCCAACCCAGTCCCAAGGCTGTTTCTCTCATCTGTCAGTTCACGCACTCCAGGCTTTCAAGGAAAGGAAGAGAGGGACTCCCAAGTCCTGTGGTCACTCAGAGAGCCGCCTGACGGTCCCAGCCACTGCCAGGCCCACTTACTGTCCTCTCTGAGCAAAGCTGCTACAGGTACAACCTAGAAATGGGTGAAATGGGGAGAAGAGACCAGGTGGGGGCCTCCCGTTGGCAGTCATGACTTCTCTGCTCAAGAACAAGAAGGGATGGGACTTGGCGGAGACACAGAAAGGAAGGCCCAGAGGGGCAGTGGTTTGGAAGGGCCTGGGGACAAGGTGACAAGACAGGGAAGGCTTCCCCTTGGGAGGAACTGAGTTCCTCTGACCCCCTCCCCCCGCAAGGCGGTGTGGAGGGCCAAGACCAGAAACAGATTTGTGACAATGAAGGCTAATTCTCCCATCTCGGGTGCAAGGCCACCGAGAATAAAGACTACATTTCCCAGCTTCCTGTGGAAGGTCATCCCAGCCAATGATATGCAAGTGGGTCAGTTAGAGTAGCTTCCTGGGGCCTTTACAAGCTAGAGGTGTCCTTGCATCTTTTGTTTAGCACTTTTGCTGCTACAGCTGAAACTAATCTTAAATAGAGCCCAGGAAGGAGGTAAGGCCTCACGGCCAAGCCGGTCCCTGTTAAGGCTGAGGGCCAGGGGAGAAGCGAGAGGAGCAGGGGGGAACCCGTGAGCAGAAGGCGGTGGGATCCGGAGGGCGTGCAGGCCTGGGGAGAGTTTGAAGGGTCAGAAACTGTGCAGCCAGGTGGGGGCGGGGGGCAGAGGACTAGGAGAAGTAACCAGGAACCAACCATGCCCACAGCCTCTCACACCCGCACCTTCCACACTCGGGCTGAGCTGGGGGCAGGAGGATTTGACCATCAGTCCATCTTGGAGTTTTCATTTCTACCCGGGACTGGACATTCCGATTGGCCACTCCAGTGATCACAAGCTCTAGAGCAGCGGTTCTCAACCTGTGGGTCGCGACCCCTTTCACAGGGGTCGCCTAAGACCATCCTGCATATCAGATATTTACATTACGCTTCATAACAGTAGCAACATGACAGTTATGAAGTAGCAACGAAACTAATTTTATGGGTCACAACATGAGGAACTGTATGTAAAGGGCCAGAAGGTTGAGAACCACTGCTCTCGAGGACACCAGAACAAGCGACCGAGGCGTGGGACCCACCACGGTTCGCATCATTTGAGGCAAAGAAGATCCGCACCCTCTGTAACCTCCCACCCCACTTCACTCACTCATCCGCCTGGCTGGTATTTAGTGAGCACCTACTACCGGCCAGAAACTGTTCTGGGAGCTGGAGACAGGACAGGGGATAAAGCGCTAATCACCCTGCCCTCCTGGAGCCCACGTGATAGCGGAGGAGATGGATGCTGCACAGGATAAGTAAGAAGAAGCATGCTATGTAGTGATCAGTGCGAAGAAAATAAAGCTGAGAAGAGGGCTAAGACGTAGGGGGGTAAATTCCACGTAGGGGGGTAAATTCCACGTAGGGTGGTTGTGAAGGCCTCACAAGACGCAACATTTCTGTAAAGACTTTTAAACATGTCAGAGGGGCACAGGGAAGAGAAAATACAGTCGTTTCCTGATGCTGGCACTTACTGGGCACAAAGTGACGTGCCTGCATGTGTGTGTCCATGTGTGGCAGACGTGGGAAGTGGCTCCACAGCCGGGCGGGGTAGGGCGAGTGTCTGGGACAGGGATTGAACGTGCACAGGGCAGGACGGGCCCCGGGCCGCAAGTATGGCCAAGAATGGAGCCAGCCTGGTTAGCATCAGCAACACCTCCTCCCAAGCTGGACAGCGCTATCTGGGAAGGAGGACGGGCCGTGATTGTAGAGTCTCCTGTGTCTGGCCTGTGGCATCGGGGGCTGGGGACACTACAGGGTGACCATGGGCTCTCCGCCTCCCGCCCCACCCTAGCCCACCACCCCCTCAGCCGCTTTCCACCCCCCACGGACAGGCCGGTCTGATGGGTTTTTCCAGGCTGGCCCAGTGGGCTGACCCAGCAGGGGGCGAGGGGACAGGGCAGGGACCATTCCTGGACAGTCAGGGGCAATGAGGTGTGTCCCTGAGCCCCACGCCTGTGGACGGAAGTTGGGGGTTGGAAAGCAGCTTTTCCAGAGGCAGGAGGAGGTCATGGGGTGAGGTCTGCAGTGCCCCCACCCCACTTCCTGTTTTGGGGGGTGTGGCCCCTGCATGTGCTTTCCCTTGGACTCCATCCAGGACCGTCTCTCCCCACCCAGGCCCATTCCCAAGGGAACCCTGCACGGGGCGGGTGGAAAGAGTTGGGGTTTTTCCAGGCGGGGCTGGGCCCCTGAGCCAGAGGGGATGAAGGGCACCTTTCCCACCCCTTCCTGAAACCAGCCCCAGGGTCCCTGTCAACATGGAAAAACCACACAGACCCCCAAGGGCTGAAGGGGAAAGGCAAAGCCACTGAGCAGGTGAGTCCTGGCACCCTTCCCGCACAGGAAGGCGCAGGAAGGGGTAGCAAGGCCCACCCCTGTGCCTGTGCCTGTGCCTGTGCCTGTGCCTGTGCCCACTGGCCCAGTCAAAGCCCTGGACTGTCAGGCCCTGGGAAGGCAGCCAGGCTCGACGGAGGACAGTTCCATGACGGGCTTAAGAGTATGAACTCAGAACCAGGAGGGTCAGGCCTGAGGCTGGGACCTGCTGAGTGACGGTGGCTTAGATCCTTTGAGTCTCAGACTCCCGGCTACCAAGGTTCCAGTCCTCTAACCCGTGCGATGCGCTCCGCACAGGGCCTGGCCCAGGGCAGGTGCACCCGTGAGGGAGGGGCCTGGTGTCCAGGTTGGGAAAACTCCTAGAAAGACAGTGTCCCCTCCCTGGCTGCTCAGGTCACCAGGGGTCATCCTATGGGGCAGCTTCTCTTGCCACCTAGAGCCACAGGAGATGATCCCATTCAGAGCCTATGGGAGGGAGCCTGTCTGTCTATTTTCCACGTTAAGATAACATGCTCACCAGAGGAAGTCTGGGAATTACAGAAAGCAGGAAGCAACAGCTTCAACTACCCAAGGCAGTCGCTCTCGATACCTAAGTGTTTTTCCGTGCGGGAGTTTTCTGGCCCGTGTTTTGTCCTCTGTAACCGGTTGGACCTCAGCATTAAGACTCGGAGCTGGAAGGGAACTGGGGGGTCGGCTGCAGTCGCCTCAGGTGACCAACCAGGAGACTCTGGCCCAGAAGAGCTCAGTGACTTGTCCAAGGTCAGTAGCAGAGCTGGAACCAGAGCTACCGGCTTTGCTGCCTCTTAAATGCCGGTGCCCCCAACACCAGCACCAAGCCGCCCTCCAGCCCCGAAGACCGCCTTTAAAGGGATAGTTAGTCGATAGCGGATCTAGGCCTTCCAGTTTGGGGGAGTCTGCCGGGGACCGGCTTCCATAAAGTTTCCTCAATAAGGGGTGCAGCCTCCACCCCCCCCCCGTTTCCAGATGGAGACACAGCTGTGGAATGGGGGGGAGGGGGTGGGAAAGGGAGGGCTGGCAGAATCCAGTAAGGGGTGTGTCCCTATGTCTGTTCCCAAGGGTGGACCCAGCCAACAGGGTCACCCTGTCCCTTTAAGAGAGGGGGGAGCGCTAGCCCCTCTCGGCCATCCTGTCCTGTCATCCATCCCGGCCAAATCTGAAAGGGAAAATGAAAGAGGGACCAGGAGGAACAGGTCCCGGACATCTCCCAAGATCCCTCGCTCAACGTTAACACCTCAGCTCCAGGAACAGGGTGAGTGGGGTCCACTGAGGGTCTGGGGGTGTCCGGAGCCTGTGGGGCCCGTGTGAGTGTGTGTTGGGGAGCCTCTCTCAGGAGATGTGGGAGACTGGGAGCCGAGGGGCGCCAGGGGGGAGGTGGGAGAGGCCTGGGCCGCTTTCCGCCTCACTGGGGTCGGAGGGCAGGGGATACCCAGGACAAAGGGTCCTGATAGACTTATGGAGTAGGAGTCCTTTTGTGTCACCCCACAATCCAGAGAGAAACTCACTGCAGGGGAAAGGGCAGAGGAAGAAAAAGGTGGGGTACCAAATTGGGTCTGGAGTCCTGGGTTCGAGGCACCACTCTCGCCCGCGGAAAGCAGCCTTGAGCACATAGGGCGCAGCTGGGTTCTGCTTCTCAAATGCAGTCAGGGCGGCCCTGATGGTCTCCAAGGCCCCCGCCTGCGAATCTAGGCTCTGGAGGAACCTAAGGCCCAACGAAGCCGGCCCAGGAGTCAGGCTGGAGCACCAGGCGGGGGCTCCT